CCTTCCTCTCTCTCTCTCTCTCTCTCTCTCTCTCTCCCCCCTCCCTCTACTCACTTTTTATCTTGTTACATTAAAATTTTCTTATAAAAAATTATTACAAAATAATCATTAAGTATATTATAACATTTAAGTATATTATAAATCATCCTTCAGATTTTCGCAATTTTTTCAAGCAAAAGAAACAAATAGATATTCCACTTTTTCCCTTATAATAAATATTAGAAAATTTTACTTACCATATACATAGTCGTAATTTAGATTCCTTTTCTATTATCCTTTATTACCTTTCTAAGTACATTTTGTTTTTTCTTATTACATTTAATTGTTATTTTGACATTCCTAATATTTGCTACATATTTTTAATACATCTCGATTCAATCTTAACCAATTCTTTTTAAATTTCCTTCCTTGCATGTCAGCTATAAATTATTAAAGAAATTTCCATGTATTTTTTGATTAAAAACGTCAATGTTAATTATATTTAATTTTAGATATTACAACACTGCAATATATACACCAAGTGATAAAGTTAAATACAACTTTTTCAATAAAATTTAATCAATTTCAATTAAAAAGAGATAAATAATGACACTTATTAAAACAATTGGTAAACACCTACTGTGGATCATTGTTTTCATAAATTTAAGTTTAGGTAAGATAATGTATACGATTATAAAAAGTAAAGATATGTGTGTATCAGTGTGTATGAATAAAATAAAACAATAATAATAAGAATAAAATCAAATTAAGTAAAACATATATAACAAAAATGCAATGTATAACATACAATTATTCAAAATGTCAAATGATACAGAGTGAAAGCTAAAGAGAAAACTAATAAGATAATTAAATGTATCATATAAAGAATATAAAAAAATAAAATAAAATAATAATAAAATTGCACAACAATTAAGTTTGCATTTTGATGCATTCTTATTTAATTGTATAGTTTATTAAAAGATGTAAATGTGTTAAACAATTTCTATTATTTAATTCAATACTATAAAAATATTGTAACAAAATCATATTTATGTTTTACAAAAATTAATTTGATAATTAAAATTAACATTTATGTTAATTATTGTACATTATTTATGTTATTAGTGAATTACTCCGTTTGTAATAAATTACTTAACAAAAAAATCGTAATGTTCTTATACATACATAAGAATAAATATTCAAGTTAGGCTTTACAAGTTTTATTAAATAAGAAATATTGATATTTTCAAAGATGTGATCTCCGAAAACATGACAGTAACAAAAAACATAAGTATAGTTTCAACGAATAGTACAAAAAACAGTACTGTCAATCGGACAGCAGATTCAAGAAGATTAAAAAATGAAACTTTCATCATAACAAGCCTAATTATACTAATAATTGTCTATACAATTTGCGGACCTGTATCTATAGAATTAATAAGAATGGGTAAATTTAACTTTCATAATATTTTTGTTCATAACATTACAATTAATTAATTGATATAGTAATGTAATTCTAAATGTTTGTTAAAGAAATATCTCATAAAATGATTCCTAACACTAGACTTCTATCGTATAATATTGTTACACATTAAATTGTTATGAAAAAGTCGTAAGATATTCCTTTATTTATCATAAATTTAGATTGGAAGCAATTGCTAGTTAATATTTAAAAAGATTCTTTATCAATTCTAATACTAAAATATATTCAACGAAATATATTCATAATATTTTCGCAGGCATGAGGGCCTGCTTCGAAAACATCGAATATTTTTTCCGTAACGGCTATAGAAATACAATACGTCGTTTGAGGAAATATTTTCGAAGAGATCACCCTGAACCTGCTGTAAGACACGAAATAAACGGAGGAATAGAACTTATCGGTAAGTAACAA